GAAAACTGTTTGAGTTATAAATATTTGACATAATTTTATTGAAATTCCACAAAGCACTCAATAAGACGCTGCGAAAAACTGAAATTATCTTATGGACCCACTTCAAACAGTTACTACTGTACCGACTTAAGCTTGACAAGTGACCACAGAATACATAAAGCGTCGGCGTTTTGATACACTGGCAGCCAATCAACCGCTGAATCGATTGACCAATAAGCCAAGCGCGCAAAAACCAGCAACCAACTAAACCGACGCCAATTAACGCGAACCCAGCAGCCGACATACTGCCGTACAGCACACACGCAATTCACGAATAGAGCCACGACACAGCAAAAAAGTAGTTGCCATTATTGCTGTTGGTGTTGGGTTTAGCCTTGATTAAAGGCGGTGGCGTATTAGCCGTATTCGCCGCGATCGTGTGTCAATTGCGGGCGAGCATGCAACAAAGTCTACGGGTATATATTTACGGTTTCAATAGATATAGAGCTATATATAGTATTTGGTTCATAGCCAAGAGCGACGCCTGTTGGTTTACAACTGACTGCTGCAAGTACTTCTCTTTAAGATAATTGAGACTAGAATAGGAGACTTATGCTTGGTAAATATGAGTGATCTGGCATCATCATCTTCGTTTCACAAAACTGACAGGCTCAATTTACCATCGAATGGCTTAACATTTATGATATACGTCCTCTTCAGTTAGACTTGAAACTTCAGAAACCCATACTACAAGTTTGGCGAGTTCAAGTTTAATGATCTCATTGGTAAATTAACGGGCGGAAAAGTCAATTAATGCGAGAAAGTGTCATAATTTTAACTAATTTATGCAGCTTGTGCCTCATAGAGTTCGGTTTTCAAATCAAGCCCCATCTTGGTGAAGCAAAATGTAATACAGACCCATGTAATCAATCGTCGCTATAATGAAACGATCTTTTGTCTCAGCAAAGCTATTGTTCTAATAAAGAGATTTAGAGAAAATTAACGTAATCTAACCATATTAATTTATATTTAAGAGCCACTATAGATGAGTAATAATACAACGGTAGTTTCGAAAACGGCAAATCTTTATGGAAACAGCATATTCCTTACCCGATCCGTAGTTCTGCATTAATTGTTTTGTAAACCGAAACTTCGCATCCACCAGAACTGTAGTACTTATTCAAGCGCGGGGCTTGAAACGCATTTGCCAAATAATCGACCGATATCTATAACACAGTACAACAGCTAATTTTAAATTTTTCCTTATCTTGATGTTAGTTGTAACATTCTGGCAAAAAAAAAATTACTGTACTGACCTAGTACCAACACCCTGACTTGGAATTTCTCACCCCCCAGACAATAATCCCAAAAATGTTCCACAGTGTAATCATTTATTTTTAGTTCCAGGATTAGTTCGATTTTATAAAATTGAGGATGTAAACGCAAAGATGGTTCTTTAAATGTGAATTATGAAATTCTATGCAATTAATTTTGTCTGTTGGCTTTGAAGCCTGTTTGGGGACTATCTAGTGTTATCTACAGCCATTAATTTTAAGATCTCGTGATAATTTGCAGTTTCTTCCGGCTTTGGTTTTATCAAAACTTTATTCAAAAGTTAAGGTCTGGAAGGGATTGACTCAGGTAATACTTTTCATCGATCTGTCATTGTTTTAATTCGTCATACGCTGAAACCCAAAGTTCATCCAGCCGCCACTGAAGTAATATAGAGGAATGCTGCCGAGTTGACAATCATTTCCCAAGTAAAAATACGGTTATTTAAACGCAACCTTTTTTTTAAACGAATTTCAATCGACCAAACAGTCCTCTCGCTATCTGAAATCTGAAGCTTCGACGAGCTCATCTTGCCGTATAATTCGTTTTTTGTGCCCTAAACAGGATATTAAATAATTGAGGCATTGTAATGTATGTATATAAATGATCAGCGCGACGAGCTAAGTCGATTTAGTCATGCCCATCTGTATATCCACGAATTAGTCCCTCAGTTGCTGCGATATCGAACTGAAATTTTGCGCCCATACTTTTCTCATCGAATAAGTGCCTCACAAACTGTTGGATCAAACCCAAGAAACGTTTCTTTTTGAAAAGATATCTTTACGAAATTTGGCATAGATTACTGCGCAAGAAAAATATACAATACAATCTCCAAACTAATTGTTCAGATTGAAACTATCACATAGCTTGTATGGAAAACTTTTTCACTTGATGAGATATCTTCAATAAATTTGGCTTGGATAATTGCCTCAGTCAGTGGTGGAATATCCGAAAGAATTGTTTGGATCGAGGTACTATAGCATATATAATTTCAGGTAAGAATATTTTGCATAGCTTCGATCCAACCGACAGAGCATTTCATAGCCCTCTGAGATATAAGAAATGCACCTGTGAAGGGTATAATAGTTTCGGGGCAGCCGTCGTTAGCGTGTCTGCGTATTTACCTTACCTTTAATGCTTGCCAGCGATTAGCCACATCCTCTTTGCTGTCAATAACAATCAAAATTGCATTTAATTTGTATGACCCAAAGTCATATGATATGAATTGTTGCACACTACAACTATTTACCATCATCATTACTACTGCATAGGTTTTTGGTGGCATGCCACTAACGAATGTGCCGGCAATCAGGCAGGCAGACAGCTGCACATACATACAGGCATGCAGCTGCAATGTGGCTAGTTCACATTGCAGTGCAAACGACGTGTTTTCACTTGTGGCATACACTTCCATGCATCTATGAGTTATAGATTATACACACACATACCAACACTTTTACATGCTTAATCGCAATTTAAAGTTACCTGATGCACATGTGTTGCGGAACTTCTTTTTTGTTCGCCGTTTGTTCACCAATACTGCACTGCATATTAGTGGCATTCCTGCCCCACACCTCGCCCTGCTTGCCACCCAACTCATCAAGCTGTGGCGGTAACTTTGTGGCACTATAATTTACTACTGGCTAATCAAGATTATATTTCGGTCATAATTCATTGACACTGTGTTGTATTATATATACTTCCCATACTCGTATATGGATGTATACAAATATACATATATAAATATATATATATCGCCGATTGTGCGTGTATGTGTGCACATGCTCGCCTGTGTTGGCAATGTGGCGGCATAAAATAACTAATGTGGTCAATATTTACGCTTCGAGCGCAGCTGATTGGCTGGCCTTGATATGCCGCATGGTTGCATGGCAGTCCTAGCACATATACACGCATATTTATAGTCTAGTCTACATTTGTTTATTTATGCCATTTGTGAACTAAATCAGTCGCTCAATTAGTCAATGAAATAACTATTCGATGGTGTCATAAATTTTTATCTTTTATTTGTTATTTACTGCTTAAGTACGGTAGATGAGGAGAATATTATCACAAAATATACCAACTGTTCTAAAGGAACAGCGTACTAGGAATGAAGATAAACTCGGTATATCTTGTTGTATTTCTTTATCCGTCTATCAAAATCAGCTGACATCTTCCCAGCGCAGGTACTAGGCTTGTGAAGTTATACTGAACAACAACGGTAAGTTATAGAAACCTTCTTATGCTTCTTTGTCAGCGTAGACACCGCTTAGGCGATTATAGTCGAGTTTAAAACAGCGCCACATCGTTCTTCCTTTTTGCTGTTTGGCACCAATTGTAGATTTCAAGTGTAGCCAGGTCCTTCTCCCACTGGTTTTTCCAACGGAGTGGAGGTCTTGCTCTTCCTCTGCTTCCACCGGCATTTAATGCATCGCATACTTTCAGACCTGGAGTGTTTTCGTCCATTCGAACGACATAACCTAGCCAGTGTAGCCGCTGTCTCTTAATTCACTGAACTATGTCAATGTCGTCGTATATCTTGTATAGCTCATCGTTCCATCGAAAGCGATATTCACCGTGGCAGAACTTTTCTCTCGAAAACTCGCAACGTCGACTCATCAGTTGTCATTGCCCAAGCCTCTGCACCATATAGCAGAACAGGAATAATGAGTGACTTAGAGAGTTTTGTTTTTGTTCGTCGAGAGAGAGCTTTACTTCCCAATTGCCTACTTAGTCCGAAGTAGCACTTGTTGGCAACAGTTTTTGCGCCTTTCGAGGCTGACTTTATTTTTAGTGTTAATGCTGCTTACAAGATAAACGAAATTATCTACGTGTTCGAAGTTTTGACTGCCAACAGTGATTTGAAAGCCGAATGCGATGACTATTTGTTTGCTGACAGCAGATATTTCGTCTTGCCTATATTCACTACCAGACGCATTTGCGTCGCTCCATTGTCCAACCTGGAGAAACCAGAACAAACGGCACGGTTGTTGATATCGATCTCATCGGCATTGGGAGTTTGGTTGCTCTTAACCTGAAGTTACAAATTTTGTATTTGTAACGCCTGAGTTTCGCGCTATGAAGTGTATCTAAATCCGAGTCGTCCAGCTAGAGCCGGATGTCATTTGCTTTCATTGCGTCCACTTTGACGGAGTAAAGGAACCCTGCTTTAAGGCTTCTAGATCATTCATCTAATAGGTCATATGACATATGGGATGGATCATGGAATGATTTTAAGATTAACAACTAAAAATCGAGTAGATTTAATTCTGAGCTTAGCAGATATTCTCAACTGCTGAGTTGACATAAGATAAACGCAAAGATTCAGTAATTACAAAGAGATCTTTAATGGAAGATAAAGAGAAAGTAATTAAGTCCATTATAATTCTTATTAAGAATATCTTTCTATACGAACTTAGTGTAAAAGGCAAACTTTAAACAACATATTCATATTTAAATGACAGGAAAATCAAGAGCGCGTTTCTACCGAGTTAAAGGACGAAACGACGAAGCTATAAACTTACCGTACAGTCAACAAAGAAGTTCCAAATAATTGAATAACATGAAAATATTATATTATAGAACATAACTTTTAAATTCAAATTTATTATAATTCAGTAGAAATAAACAATTTAATTCACATTAGTAAGATAAATCGAAAAAAAAATTATAAATTTTTAAAACGCAGTCAAACATTTATTTGTTGTAAGAATAACTTCAATCCTCATCAACTGGTTCGCTTTTAATATTCAATACGGCAAAGTCATCCGAAGCAATAATGCCCATATCCGCCATAAAGCCGTCGACAGCTTCCGAATCCTTTCGCTGCTCTGTAAGAGAGCAATTACGCTTTCCATATTCTGCGAGCATTGGCAGCGAGCGCTTCTCACCAACAACGGGACCAGAAGCCGTAAAACTTGACGATGTGTTGTTGATATGTGAAGAGCTTGAAGAGTCACGACAAGCCTTAGGATTGCTGGAAGACGCCCACGCAGGTGTTTTATCATCATTGCTCACGAATTTTTTATAACCCATATTGAGGGGTACCGCACGCACAGCCGGACTGCGATCACCAGCACTCACGCTAAGTGCCGGCGAGGTTCGGGAGCTAGACGTGTTGGTGAGAACAGTTGAGACAGTAGCGTTTACGCTGGATATTGTGCTACGAAAAGGTGTGGGTAATTTGAAAACCTCTCTGCCCACGACATGAGCGGGCGAACAGCGATGGGCAATTGTGATTTTCGGTGATGTGGACATCTGTTCTTTGGTATTGGCAGTGGTAGTTAAATAGTTGCTGCTGGCAGTAACATTCGGTAAGGCGCCACAAACTGAATAACGGCGTGCTGGTGGACGCGCACCGATTCTAATTGTTGGTGGCTTGCGATCAGCCTTAACGGTTGCATGAGCAGAGCTCGCGGACGTGGCTGACACGGTTGTCGAGGAACTGACGCCCCTAACTGGTGTCACCAACTGACGTAACTTTTGTTTAGTTGCTGTGTTAGCGGTGGGAGTCGGTGAAGCGGTGGGTGTTGATGTATCGGTGGTGGCTAACTTATTGCCTGTTCCGACCTTATTGGATGTAGCCTCAGCGGTGCTGCGTGGCACAATGAACGTGCCAACACCGCTAGCATTCACGGCATTCTCTAAACTGGCGTTAGTTACATTGCTTTTGGGGTAAATCCGGTAAATGCGTCGATGCACGATCTCACCGTTGTTCGACCCATAAGCACCGCTTGTGGTGGGCAAGTTGTAAGCGGAAGAGCCGACTTCGTTCACCTTAACCAATTTACGTATAAGACGTAAGCCTGGTGTTGTGGTCGTGGTGCTTGTTGTTTGCATAGAAGTTGCAGTTCCACCGGCTCTGGAGAGCAACATGGGTGTCGGCCTATTTGCATTTTGATATGCAGTTGTTGTTGGAGCATTGAAAGGTGAAACACGTAATGATAGTGGCGGCGGCGGTTGTGATGGCGTAGAACGCATCGATGGAGTTGGTGAAATCATAGCACACTTTTCTGCGCTCGTCTTAGCGGCCAACTCGCTACT